TAGCAAAACAAATGACAAATATTTCAATTTCTACCATTCAAAGTGAAGAAATATGTTAATTTCTACCATTCAAAGTGAAGAAAAACTGGTTGTTTTTCCTTAAAATGAAACATGATCTGACTAGTTTGCGGAAAACTGATAAAAAGTGTCCTATTAGCAAAACAAATTATAAATATGTCAATTTCTACCATTCAAAGTGAAGAATTATGTAAATTTATATTATTCAAAGTGAAGAAAAACTGTTTTTCTCAAAAATTAAACATGATCTGACTAGTTGGTGGAAAACTGATAAATAAGTGTCCTATGACCAAAACAAAAGATAAATATTTCAATTTCTACCATTCAAAGTGAAGAAAACAGCCTTTTTATGTTAAAAATTAAACATGATCTGACAAGTCGGCAGAAAACGCTGATTAGCTTCAGAGGAAAACTGATAAAAATTTCAATTTCTACCATTCAAAGTAAAGAAAACTGGTTATTTTTCTTAAAAATTAAACATGATCTGACGAGTCGGTTAAAATCACCCTTTAATTTCTTTGCATGACTCTTTTAGACTAAAAACTTTCATTTTAATGACAAAGTAATTTAAGGAAGAAATGGAACCCTTTTTTCCCAGGTTTCCTAAAAATGGACACGTTTTGAAACAAATCTGAATTTTAAATATAAAAGTGAGAAGGTTTTACTTGAAAATCATTCGTTTAAAGAACACAATAAGTGTTTGATGTTTGAAGCTTTTTTTTTTCTTTCAATAAAACAACTTAGAAATAAGAAAACTGGTGGTTTTCGATCACAGGGGACTTTTTCCTCTGAGAAATTAAACATTTCCGGTGGTTCTGGTGCTTCTGTTTTCAGCCGGTTTGTTTCTGACCAAATATCCCAGCGTGAAGTGAAAAGAGAGGAAAAATACACTAAGATTTAAGGCTTCAGGAGCACAGAGAGGGAGGAAACAATCGAAACATCAAACACTCAATTCCCCTTCAAAAAACAGTTTTGGGCCTATTTTTTTTTTCCCTTTTAAAGTTTTTCAAGTGGCTTCCGATCCGAGTCGAAAGCAGAAGGTCCGAGTCGTCCGGTCGAGGTCAACCTTTACAAAAATCCACATGAATTAAAACAGAAAAATGGATGACAAGAGTCTGTCCCATAGGAGTAAAGCATTCAGGCTTTAAAAGAGGAGTTTTCCCCCCTTTTTCTGCTGATTTTGGTCTCTAAAACTCTCATTCTGGTGGATTTTCATGAGGCAGAAGCTCTGATAAGTCTGTTCCAGACTTTATTCCCTAAACATTTACACGGTTTCTTACCTTCCAGGTGGAGAAAAAGTCTAAATACTGAGGACAGACGGACTTTTCCTAGAAAACGTGTTCCCTTCCGATGGTTTTAGGAGGAAAAAAAAGGATATCGAAGCGTCTAAAAGGTGAAAGATGACATTTC